AACTGTCAGATGATATTTTATTTAAAACATGTTATACAGGGGAGGTTTCAGAACCAGTAAACATTCTTGCTAACTTCTTGAAAAGTGAGGTGTCTGCTCCATGCCAACACCTCAGCGTCTCACGTGAGATGCAGCGCCCCCTGCCTGTCGGGATGTGAACCAAGGAGGGTTTAGGTATTGCACATTGCCGTAGGTTCCGACAGAATGTGTCCATCACAGTGCATCACTGATGTATTCCATGCCAGACACCATCAGGAGGCCAACTTTGCAACAGACCACAGCACGAGGAATTCGCCATTCATTTTTATAATGTAGATATTCTGTCATGAATCTTGACATGGTTGTAACCTGCAGCTCGTGCTGAAAGCCATGTAGGCGGTATTGATTGATGAGATTGTTTAAAGCCTGTTTCATAAGCGGTTCTTCATATCTTATTATAGCTGTCAGTTCTGGCTGCCTTCTTTGATTGGCATTCTAGAAGTTGGTCAGATGAAGAATGAGGACTATTTTTATGGATATACAACTTCTTCATTGTATATAGGCGACGTTTCGACATAGATTCTAATGTCGTTGTCAAGCAAGTTCCTGGTTGGTCTCAGTAACGGTGGTCGGTACTCAAGAGTAGCCTACCTTTGTCATGCAAGGATCCGTTGATCGTTGGTTCGAATCCCAGTATGGTCCTTATTATGACACTTGGTGTGTCAGCGTCACCCGTGGACGTGGATGTCGGTAAAGTGTTAAACGTCAACGAGGATGATGTTTTCCACGTGACTAATGGTAGAGCTGAAGTACTGCTGAAGCGGTGACCTAACCTACTTATTACATACATACATACATACATACATACATACAAACATTTGTATAGCGCCAATATCCAGTACAACCGCTCAAAGGCGCTTTGTTTTTCCTCGATCATTGGATATCCATCACAACGGCACATCGTATTTTTCAATCTCAACTCCCTGGGGAGCATACAACTCTTGCTGCCTACTAGGCGCACCGAGTTAATGTGGCTATTCATCTTGATCTCGATGTAAAATAAACAACACTTCTTAATGTATTCACATTTGGTTCTGGAAAAGTGCAAAAAAATACCTAAAACTGCCTCATGGAATCACACATATTTACATCGCTGGTGCCTAGGCATCGGAGATCTACTGTGCAGAGAACAGGAATGGCCCTTAACCATGTGATACATTAACCCTTTTCGTTTTTCCGATACCTCACTCCAGTATAATCCGAAGTTGAATGTGTCTGGCATTGTGTACTGAGGTTCATTGAATTTCTGTACGTTATATGCAAACCGTTATTTAATCAAAATCTCTGTGGCCTACAACTATACGTTTATGACATTAGTATCTAATAGTCTAATTCCAGTCGGTATTGTAATACCCGTCTCTGTGCCTTAAGTAAAGAACCGAATGCAGTGATTACAACGTACTTTCTTTACAACTGATTAATAGTTAAATAGCTAACGTTGCCAAGATTCAGTTATGACAGGACGGAAATAGCGTGTGCCCCCGAAAATTACTTGTTGGTGAATCAATGAATTCTGTATTCCTGTCTGGTTAAAGTAACAGGCCAAATACACTTGAGAAACTGCGATTTCAGGCATGACGGATCGGGTGACATCAGCCCAGTAACTCTCCGTAACGAAGTTAAGAATACCTGCTTGACTATATCAATTAGCCGGAGCCTTAAGGTATCTAAATTTCCGACCCACGCGAATCGAGTGTTTCTTCCCATCTAAAGAGCCGGCCGCGATTATTTCAAGTGTCATCTTTGTTAACGCGATATCCTTCAATTGTTTGGTGAGTGTCTTCAGATTGAGATAGGGGCCGAACAACGCGAGAAAGAAACCGATCCTGTCATCGACTTTACAACAGCGTCGCTGGAGGACTGGGTTGTTCAGTCATCCATACACGACTCTGCCTGGCCGGGTAATTGAAATGTTTTCAGCCAGGGGTTTCATTGTGTTCAGCATTCGCCTTGGGCTGTCCAGTTCACGGGTAGACTCCGGTAAAACTTTCGCCATTTTCCGAATGATTTGCTGTGAAAACACGCCATCCGCGTTTAATCCCCTCCTGTGGTTCGGCCTCGTCATTGCCAGTAAAGACTGTGACCCCCAAATAACGCCTTTGCCACCCTCATTTTCCGGTCCCATCCGGGCTTACACCAATTGTTCCGAATCCAGACCTTGGTTGAAATTTCACGCTCAATATACATTGCCTAGGGCAGAGCTAAGGCCATCAAAACTCAGGTAGATTCGCCATCCATAAGTTAAGTGTTGCATGCCAGATCATTCATATGCCTACCATAATATTTTCTCTCCAGTAGGTAAGGATTAAAACTGTTTATACGCTCAATTCAATTTGAATGATCCAGGTAATCTACTCACATAAAGACGCAATAGTGTGGATAGTTGTAAGGAAAACAGCTTGAAATACAATTGTCACCAGCACATAACCATCGCCAGAGGGCAGCAAAGGGACAGAAATCCCTTGTTGACTTCCTCTTAGGCTCAGAGCGCCGGAACTTGATTCTCATGACACGAAGCAACGCTCCCGTTCACTCCTTCCTTCCCACTCTTCTCACTACGGCAATAGCCTGGGGATAACAGCAGACAAGAGGTGGTGATAATCTCAATCTGGTGCTTACGGTGGGATTTTCGTCGCAAGATTGTGTCTTAAAGGGGGTCGAGGCTCGGGCAAACTAGCTGTCATGGTGAATTGATTCAAGAGTGTGGGAGTTGGGTTTAACGCCGTTTGAAAAACATTTAAGTTTTCTGAAAGTCTGTAACGACTGAGGTTTGGCATGTTGGCCAGTAACACGCGTATGGTGTGGATATACCTGGAAACTAATAATACCATAGGTTCCTGACACACCAAAGGTACGTAACTCTGTGTAGCAGGATGGGTAGGCTTACACGACTGGGCAGACCGTGTCCACAAGTCACCTTGAAGCAATAGGGTTTGTTAACCATGCACTGTAGGTAATGATTCAAGACACTGCCAGATAAAAACACAACATAAATCAGCTGAAATCAAATAAACCCGTTCTTACAGTACGTATCGGTAGAAAGGTGAAATACGCAACGAATGAATACGCCAGAAGAGTGGCGGAAGATTAAGCTGATAGATAAATAAATAAACAGGCCCGAAATCTGGTAATTTGAAACAACATAAAACGGAGTCATTTTGCCAGATAAAGCCTTCATTTGCAAAGGTCATTGAAATGCTAATTGATTCGTAGGGAAATACTACCGATATATTCCAATTAAAATCGTCTCGTGATAGACATGTTCCTGTCGACGTAGTCTACGGGGTAACTCCCAGGGCTAGCCTGCAGGGGGATAGTGACTCGTGATATAAACCATTGGCACAAGTGCTTGCCATTACACGGAAACACATCGCTTGCCCACCAACTTGCGCAAATACAAAGGCAAAAGTCTTTAATCATGCACAAAGTAGACTTCCCAGCATGCTTGGCAGAGGTTCCTAGACAGACGAAGTGTTGCTTGGAATCGGGGAATTTGTTTACAGTGAGACGGATGAGCATGCAACGAGGCTCAGTAGTGATTTCTGGGAGCTATTTCGGCGGCGCTACATCCGACTGATCCCGGACCTGTTTGTCTACACACAGTCGTAGAAAAACGTTATACACAAATGTACCCGTCGATATTCCTTCACACATTTTTAGATAGAGACGTTGATTTGTTTGCAGCTGTGGTCGGTGCTGGCGCGTGTAGGTGCAGACGGCGTTGATGAACGGCAACATGTACTGTCATACGGAAGGGATTGATTGAAAACTTGAACTTCGAACCACCCAAACATTTTTTCGTTGTTTATGGAGGCTCTGGTGGTTTTTATGAAACGTTCGCTGAATTCCAGGAAACTAACTTTTATGCGTGGCATTAACCTTTGAATATTTCTTTGACATTTTCAAATACATGTAATATCTATTAAACAAATTCCAGAACGGGAACAGTATTCTATGCAATGGTTATCATTGATAAATGTCAAACAATATTTTGTAGCAGGTTTCTGTATCAACTTCTGCAGAAGATTAATTCATCCGATCCTTGATTTGGCTTCTAACATTCAAAACAGGGCGAATATTGAAACCTTCTCTGAATCCTTTGGGTAATGATTGATCGTTCGCGAACATTTCGATATTTCAGCATCTATTTAATGTAAATGTTCATGTACACATCAAATGCTCATCCAGTGTCGCAAATCAAAGTGATGAACTGCGGACTGATATGTGGTTTTATCGAACTACGATGTATACCCTGGTAGAAGACGATGGTCCCAAGGTCAAGGTCAAGGTCAACCCCCATCAGTGCGCCTGACCATAGTGGCAAACAGTATTATCTTAGATATATTTAGAGTTGTTACACTGGAATGGAGATCACATGAGCATGACATACCAAGCTTAAGGTTTGATGGAACACAGTATGCCAGTGCATCCTCATCTTTAGATCCTGTATGGGGGCGTCATGCTTGATGGGAGTGTTCATGTCTTTATTCCCGGGCATCCTTTAGTGTCCTCTGCATCATTTCCCTGTTATGTTATGATGTATACCATCGGCCTACTCCCTGCCATAGCTTCGTTCTAAATCCGATAGGAATAGCAATAGCCAATCAAATCTGTCTCATTCGATAGAAGTCATGTTCTATGTTAGAGACATATCGGAGCGATATAGGTGGCAACGCCCAGACTATGGTGTTTGTCACAGTATAGAGATATAATACAAATACGTTTACTGTAATATAACACTGAATAACCGAGAAGACAGATATCAGCTAGACAATCTTTGGTCACTGACGTGTACATCAGGGCAGGTGCTATAGCCCAGCAGTACTCGCACAGTCGTCCGAGTTCTATTCCGCACATGTCTGAATTAGCGAATGGCAGAATGTCAAGGCAGCTGGCAATAATATTCATTCACTCTGTGTTTGTAGTCATGTATTTGTACAACGTCTGTTCGTGTTTTGCAGGATCTCTTGGGACGGCTGGCCGTGTGTGCAATAAGTCCTCAATGGGCACCGACGGCTGTGACATCATGTGCTGCGGGCGAGGATACGACACCAAGACGGTTAGAAAAATAGAAAAGTGTGAGTGTAAATTTCACTGGTGTTGTTTCGTCCGGTGTAAAGAATGTCACCGAATGGTTGACGTCCACACGTGCAAGGGGCCGAATCCAACTCCTCCTCCCGCTAGTCGCAAGACGCGCTTCTAGACGACTCTTAGTCCACATGAACTGGAACCTTTTAGACTCGCCTCAACGTTGAGCATACATCTGCTGCACAGACTAGACGCTGTGTTCGCTTTGATGAAGTGGACATAGGATGAAGACGGTGCTGATGACGCGACGACGTTGTTGAACAGCGACGGAGACGACAGTGTGTAGATCAGAACGTTGTGGATGTTCTAGTGATGAAGAACGACTGTCAGAGCAAACTTCTGAATGGAGAAATGACAGATGGATGCTTGAAACAATCTGTGTTTAATGTCGAGACCAGGCTCATGTAGATATATTCTCCTGTGCAACCTTATGTTCGCTTCTCTCGCAGTGTTTACACACTATTGATGACGTGGCCCGCCAAGCCTGAGAGGTTTGGGTAGGACAACGCCATGCACGTGCACAACTACATTTATGTGATCTATTATTTTCTGTGAGCTGACTAGATGTGTGTGGAGCGACGCATATGGTGGTCCTGGCTACAGCTTATTGTTACTGTTTGTGACGATAGAACCCCAGGCTGTGAGTGTCCGAGCACTAACTACAGCAAACCCAAGCGTGTTTATCACGGAACGGATGGGAGGAAGATTGACGATAATCGCCCTGTGTTGACAATGAAAGCATTTGTTGATTCGTCAGCTTCTGAAACAGGTCCGTGCTCCCTCAATGGCAAAATACAGAGTGTTTGTCCCCAAAACAGTGCTTGTTGAAAGAAAATAGTCACTGTGTTGCATCTTCATCCGACATGATGGTGGTCCGTTTGGTCTTTGTGTGTGTTTTGGGGAAGGGAGATTCAGCGCAACGGGTGTCTGTTCTCACTGTGGTATCTTCTTCTCTCATCGAGAAACTATACAGGATTGACTTAAAAGCAAGACTTTCCCTCATACGGAATCTGAATGGACGGTGAAAAATGTTAGTGTTTCCTGTAGACTCGTCTGTTCTTATTTATGATAAGGTCTGTTTGTACTTTGCCTTTAAGTATAGCTGAACATACTCTTGCCTAATATGCATAAAGACATGTTTCAATCTTGTGCGGTGGTGGCAGTGATAGGTTGTCGCCTTAGAAAATGTGATAGAATATGGTGTTTAATACACAAAGGCGCGAATTATACCTATTGCTGCCATTGCTGCAAGTACTAAAGATCCCTGTGCGAATGGTATTTTGAATTGAATGGGCAATGTGTGATAAGGATTTTAGTGCTTTCATTTGCATTTTATTTGATTTTGTGAGTACTTGTACAATACCTTTCTGTACGATAGAATTTAACCAAAGTACAAATTTATGGAGCATTGTTTGAACTAAGTTTTAATCATATCTTAACAAAATGTATTACGAAAAACGTCAAATGATTATGTGATATTTTTAACTGACATCTCACTTTATCAAAACAAGATGTTGCGGTTTAGATTTTGAAAACGTTAATTATCTTACAGGTAACTGGTTATTGAAAGCGTCGTTTTATCCTACAGGTAAATGGTTATTGAAAACGTTATTTTATCCTACAGGTAACTGGTTATTGAAAACGTTATTTTATCCTACAGGTAGCTGGTTATTGAAAACATTATTTTATCCTACAGGTAAATGGTTATTGAAAACATTTTTTTATCCTACAGGTAAATGGTTATTGAAAACATTATTTTATCCTACAGGTAAATGGTTATTGAAAACGTTATTTTATCCTACAGGTAAATGGTTATTGAAAACAAACAAATGGTTATTTTATCCTACAGGTAAATGGTTATTGAAAACATTATTTTTTATCCTACAGGTAGCTGGTTATTGAAAACATTATTTTATCCTACAGGTAAATGGTTATTGAAAACAAATTGGTTATTTTATCCTACAGGTAGCTGGTTATTGGTACAGGTAAATGGTTATTGAAAACATTATTTTATCCTACAGGTAAATGGTTATTGAAAACATTATTTTATCCTACAGGTAAATGGTTATTGAAAACGTTATTTTATCCTACAGGTAAATGGTTATTGCTGGGCAGTGTTTTTGTTTTTTAAAATTAATTTTGAAGGGGGAAAATGAAATTAAGTTTGGAGTTGTTGCCATGGATGTGAATGTAGAGTATTTATGCTGGCAGGTTGTTAGGCGACCTTCGTTACTGAGGCTCTGTGTGATGTACATAGACTCTACATTTCTCAAATGTACATGTGTAGATCCGTGTCAGACCCGTTTCTATTAAATCCATTCTCAAACGTAATTTCTGTATTTTGTTTTGTCATTGAAATGGCTAAAGACTGGACAATATTCGGGTATAAAATACACAATACCCATTTCACACCCTGACGTGAGTACGCAGACGTTTAGGCGGTGCTGTAGCCATGGTGGTGGAAGTGTTCGCTCATCACGCTCGGGTTCGATTCCAACATGGGTACAGAGTGTGAAGACCATTTCTGGTGCCCCCGCCATGGTGTTGCTGGAATATTGCTCAAAGCGACGTGAATCCCAACTCACTCACTCACTGTCTAATACCGGATTAACCTTGTATTGTTAGTCTTTCTGAAACGATAAGTCTCATACCGTAGGTACGTATTCTAACAACGGTTATTATACATTATATTATAGTCGGTAAGCCTCTTTTGTAACGGATATTTGACTTTTAACTGTTATAAGGCATTAATATTTGACGTTGATATGTTTATATCGAGATTCTTGCATTAATATATGTGACGGCTTAGCCTTGCTAAACGACGTATGTGTGCGTTTCGGATAAATTCATTGGGTGCATTTGTAATAAAATAATCTTTTAGGTCGGTATAACTTTATTAACCAGGGTGATTGCAGTTTAACTCACTAAATTGAGAATGGCTTGATAAAGTAGACATAAATACAATGAACTTGACACCCGGGAGAGCAATTCATAGGACGTATCAAAAATAAAAATATATAATTCAAGAGTTCACGAAAACATGGATACACATTTAGTACATATATACGACATACCGGACTGGTCTCTGAATCACTACGTATTGTTTTACAATTATGTGTCCGGAATGTATTGTATTGACACTGAAGCTAGGAACTTCCTGTGAGAATTTAACCTTTGACTTGATAGTTGTAAGAAGAAGACCCCGGAGGGGGCTCATTGTTGGGGTATGTCTTCCCGACCAGTAACTCCTCTAACTGGTATCTAGCTGGACCTCCTACAGGCAGAGAAATGACAAACATCTGAAATTGTATCCACGTCAACAGAAAAACGTGGCTAGGGCAACATTTACATTTCTGTTCTAGCTCTCCCCCTTGGGGATATGACCCCTCCCAACTACCCCCTTGTGTTAAAACTGTCCGTTAAGGGCCGTGTTTATTCAGAGATTTCACGCCAGGTGAAGAACTTCACGAGTTGTTGCACAGAAAGTAGCAGCTTACGCGTCCTTAATGACAGATGGTTGATGTTTCATAAACATTTACAGGATTTATACGAAAGAACAAAATTTTAACAAAGTCATCAGGCCCATGGGAGATATGTCGAGTTATCCGTTGTTCGAGACAGGGTACTGATATTGGATACTCGTTCAGACCGTTACGTCACAGCACCATATAACGTTTGTCCACAGATAGTGTCAGATACCATATGCTTCTAAATATTATTTTGCTGATCGTGATAATGATGATAATGATTTTAAATATAGAGCGCCTGAAATGTTTTGAACAAAAGTACTACTTCTACAAAGACCGCCACCACCACCACCACTACTACTACTGCTTCTACTAATGAATATTTGACCCAAGTGTCATTGACAAGATTCAGGAGAAATAAGGCAAGTACGCGGACCTTGTTTACAAAGCGCAACACTTGCACCCCAAGTACCAAGTCGTTCGACTCATCATTGTTCTTGGTGCCTTGGTGGGGTAGCCTAGTGGGTAAAGCGTTCGCTCGTCACGCCGAATATTCGGGTTCGATTCCCTACATGGGTGCAATGTGTGAAGCCCATTTCTTGTGTCCCCCGCTGTGATATTGCTGGAATATTACTAAAAGCGGCGTAAAACCATACTCACTCTTCGCGACTGACGTTGGCATTATACCCAGATTTGCTGCAAGCAACACAACCCTTTAACATTGTGGATAAAGCAGAAGGCTGCAGTGTTGGGGAATCTGCACATTCTCCCAAAAGTTCTTGGTGGATTCGACAAGGCAGTGCTCCCTGGAAGAAGTCCATTCACTGTCTGGGCTTCAGGTCAAGGGCCCTGACCTGTTGATGAGCCTAACCTGGCTCTCTGTGCCAGGATCACTCGAACTGTGTTTGCTGCGTTCATCTGTTTAATTTATAGAAAATGATAAAGAAAATACTAATCCCATTGCTACTGCTGGTGTTAATACCACTGAGTGGGTTGGTTTACGCTTTAAACAGAGTTTCAGTTACGAGTGTATCGCGGCATGGCATATAAATGTTATCGGAAAGTCAGACGGTTTGAATAATAACAACGACGAAAGTGATAACATGGAAATGCTGCCCTGTAGATTATTTGAAACTCAGCTTGAAGCGCTCATCGCGCGATACTACTACACCACAAACAACTGTCCATGTGTTTGAATGTTTCATGTGAAGTCTAGCTCCTGCAGCAATATCATTAAAATCATAATGAATTATTCATTACCGATCCATGAATTCGTAAAGGTCAACACGCTTTATCAATGGCTTTAATTTCAAAACAGTCTAAACCAAAACAGGCAATTTCTTCCTTGAGATATGCTTTCTTCTCCATAAAATGAATGATGATCAACTAGCAAAACCAATACATTTATTGAGTCTTTCATTCCTTCAACAGAATTATCCTATTGAAAGAGGGAGTGTCGCTCGCGTGGTCATTGGTTCAGAGAAGAGGGCCACATTCTCTGGACACCACAAATATTATTGGACGATTTGCTTTAAAGCAAATTCATTCGTAACTCGGGGTCTTTCAACAAATGGGGATAATTTCCCTCCCACTGGTGTCATTGTTGGCTTGTTATGCTCCTATTATACCCGCCTGTCTGTCTCACTGATACGAGAAATGGTCCCGTGTTATAAATCTTTGATCGTTTTAACCAAGTCATTTAGAGCCTTGCCCGGTTCTACACCCAATTCTATGGCGAATATAGTCGGATTTCCCCGTTCACATTACAAGTGATGCTTAAGTGGGATAATATTGACACTTTCAGCTTTGAAGCGCGGAATATCCAACAGAAATTCTTCTTTTCGCGTTTGAAGCGCGTCCGTCTTTTCAGCGAGCACAAACAACCCTCAGGCCAGTACCGATGTGACGTGTTTAAAGTGAGGCCGTGGGTTCATTTCCAATATGGCTTCAAAGCAGGAGAATGTTCCAATGTAAAGGCGGGATGTCTCACAAAGTAGCAATATTATTGGGCATTTTTTTTCGTGAATTAATGAAACAAAAATAGAGATATTTGAAAATTGTGTATCTAATGTTAACATAAACAGAATCTACAGCAAAGTTTTACGTACCCTTAGGGATACATTCGCGTTCAAGCGGCTGCTCTTTTGCTACTTGCAGTTGCGCTGAGATAGATCTTGGTGGACACAGCCTTGAAACGTATCTCGACTACTAAACAAAAGAAGAATGATATTAAATTGAAAGCTTGCCTGTAGGTGAGAGTATTTGGTTAAAAGGTTTTCTATTTCCAATAAAAAATCCATCTCGTGCTGAAAGGGTACTAACAGTCAACGATAATGCCTGGTTTCTCGCTTAACGGTATAATATCCATTATGTGTGTGCTTGGTGATAGTCTTCATTTGATTGGTTTTATAAGAATATGGTGGTTATATTATCACGCTATCACCTAACAGATTCTTAAAGATGAAACAATTATAGAAATATTGACTTACGACAGGAAAGGGTTTTGCGCATGCGCATGAGAAATGCGTTTAGTCCACATGACTGCGAGTGAGTTCTTAGAACAGTACTCCAGTTATGGAAAGTGCGAGCTTATGGAACGTGCGTGGTTAAACTTACGAACAGATATTATACAAAACGTAACGGTTACTATTGTATCAGTTGAAAAAAGGCAACTGGTACAGTGGTAACTACCAAGAAGGTACTACTCCGAAACAAAAGCCAGGCTAGCACGAGTTTTCTATCTCTCTACTGTCAGACATCCCATTTTGCGTGGATTTCATTGGACAAGAGTCTCCTAAATGTAAACCGCCCATGTAAATGTATATATGCTGTAAACAGATAGGGGCGATAAGGTATCCCAGTAGTTCGATCCCCCTCATGGGTAAGGTGAGGGAGGCTGTTTCTAGTGCCCACGTCGTATTATTGCAAGAATATTGCTAAAAGCGGTGTAAAAACATACTTACTGCATGCGCAAATACGGACTAAAAGTTTATGTTTGGGGACGATGACCCGGGTTTGATTCCTCTCATAAAGATTCCTTCCCTTATACTGCTGTTAAAAGCTAAAACGGCACGAAATTTCAATCACGGTATGACAGACATCAAATGTATTTCCGCACTGATTGCCAACAGCACCGAGGCAAGATCTCCGCAGGCCGAAATCTCAAGCTTGTCCTAACACAAACCAGCGACTTGGAATGGGGTTTATAATAGTAACCAGTGTGATAGCATGTGAATTATAGATCTTTCATCGACTAGAACTTCAGCGGGGGCATTCCTGGGTAGTCTTGGCTCAAAGTAACGTCATGTCTGAATGAACCAGCAGAAATTGACCAACAGGACTGGTCGTTCTTGAATGGCGTGGCGTTGCCCATGCGTTCAATCACTGGCCGGCCCCAGTATCCTACCCGCCGTCCTACAGCTTGAAATACTGAACTCCGGCTTGAGGCAGCATTCACTCACTCATACAAACGTAGCCTAATGGTTAAAGCGTTCGTTCGTCACGCCGAAGACCCGGGTTCGATTCCCTTCATGGGCACAATGTGTGAAGCCCATTTGTGGTGTCCCCCGTCCTAATATTGCTGGAATATTGCTAAAAGCGGCGTAAAACTCACTCACTCATACAAACTAGAGGCCGATAGTATGAACAGCCACTGACACTGTCGGGAAGCGACATGTTTACTCAGCCAGCGAGACCAGCCATTGGCCCGAACTTTCCTAGTGTTATAAAATGTCATTTTACGATCACAGTGTGAGTTATATGTCACCCAACAGGCTGACAACTCATATTTAATAGAAATTCACACCCGCCCCTTCCCACCCTCCGTACAACAAAGGTGTCATACCAATCTATTTTTTTTAAAAG